GGAAGTTTGGTACCAAATGGATGGCTGCCCGGCACATGTTCGGGAATATTGAGACAAGGCTGTTCGGGAATATTGAGACAATAGTTTTAACGGAAATGTTATTGGCCTAAATCATACAGTAAATTGGCCAGCAAGGTCTCCTGATATTTCGCCAAATGATTACTTTCTCTGGGGCATTTAAAAAACAGGATATACAAGGATAAAAAATACCCAAATCTAGACGAGTTAAAAAAATGCTATTTCTGCCGAATGCAATAGAATTTCAGTTTACCAACTAGCGAATGTAATAAGAGAATTTTATGATCGCCTGGGTTATTGTCTAACAGTCGATGGAGGAATATTTGAACATCTTCTTAAATCCTAAAGTTCTAACAATTTAATAGTACCTAAATTAATAAGTTATTGAATATTGTAATAATACTATAATTAACCTTGTAATTGATTATTTTATTTTACTTTAATTCATATTAATTTGTATTTATAAATACATCTTTAAGATTTCCGATGTAGGAATGAGTTTTCAATAATAATAAAGCACTAAATAGGTAAATTTCTGAAATGACAACTTCATTTGACAGTTATCTTTTACCTTGATTGGTGCTCATAAGTAAATACAGGGCCATAAGAAAGGAGAAATATTTAAAAAGAAATCGGCGATAACTCATAAACGAGCTAATCAAAAATATATAAAGTTATTCTTTTGAATGTGGGTTTTATTGCTCTTCAATAAACCTAAATAGAATTATTCTCTAAAATAATTAGGGAAGCCAATAATTGACCCCATTAAAATTTACATGGGATTTCCTATGTCCCGTCCGACGATGCAACACCCGGTATAGGTAGCGATCTGTTAAAATTAGAAAGTTATTCTCAACTTCTGGTATTTCCGGAAGTGCCGTCATAGAGAAACATCCTGTATATTAGATTTGTTCAAAAGTTGCTTGTACTAGCAAAATAAAAACACTAAATCACCACAATACTCCAAAACACTTTTACTTTTACACTGGACGCGCGTTTCGCTAACCATGTTAGCATCATCAGCAGATGATTATAAACTCACTGGCTAAACTAAAAAGGCACTGACTTGGTTGGCTAGATTTTATCACGCCCACTCGGTGCCCACTGAGCGAGTATATAAACGCTCAACTGGTAGATTGTACTTTAGTTTATAATCATCTGCTGATGATGCTAACATGGTTAGCGAAACGCGCGTCCAGTGTAAAAGTAAAAGTGTTTTGGTGTTTGTGGTGATTAATTTAGTGTTTTTATTTTGCTGTTTAACACCAAAGGTTCCAACCCTCAACTGTAATTGCTTGTACTAAATGCACTCATTTAATATACTTGCAATATTTTATTATATTTTTTTATCTCCTTGTCAAGTCAATTTAGAAACTTTTTGTCTACATATTTTTTATTTCTTTTTTCTACACCGAGCAGAAATAAGGAATAGTGAAAAATAAAACTCAATATCCTTAGAAATAAATAATTTATTGTCTCCAAGAACGGTAATCATCATCACTGTTATATTATTTAATAATCTAGGTGTTTTGAACACCATCGCAGCTAAATATCATTTACAACTATGGAAATCTTTCCCATTATATTTAACCTTATAAAATAATTAGAAACCTAAGCAACGTCAAGAAAACAAACACTTAACCAACATTTAACTACAAACTCATAATGAAAAAAAAAACACTTTGGCATAATATTATTTTCCAGTTTAACAAACCATTAGACAGTCACTTAAAACTAGCTCAAAAATAAAATTTAATTTTATACAAAACAAACTTATATAGTTAACTAAGATTATGTCATAGTCATATATTTATATTTTACATATATACTGGATTATACATCAAATAATATAGTTATCATTGCAATAATATGCAATAAACAATACATGATAATAGTTTAACTCAATTCATTTCAATTCTCAATAAAATGTAGCGAAACATATGTGTAGATTTTACACCAAAAATTTAGCGACTTATTTCATTTTTGCACCAAAAATGAAATGAGTTACTAAAAAATGTAGAGATATTAGAATAAAATTTTATTTCATGTAGACATTTATTAATAAACTTTATTTCTTATTTGGAAATAACATATTTAACGGATCATCTAACTATTTAAAGTCGATATACTTGTAATATACTCTACCAGAATACAGGGTGTATTAAAAGACCGAGACTATATTGCACTAACTAATCGTTATAGGTATAATCATATACAAGAACATTTTTTCCATACATTGACAGCACCCTGTATAATTTTAATTATTACAATAAATTTCTAGTAGTTTGAAATTTTGTAAAAATGCGTATACGTTTACGTGGGATTTTACTGGCCCAAAATTATACCTTATTTACTATATAAATGTTATCCCGATAATTGAATTTAGCGTTACTACTATTAAAAATTAGTATAGAATATACAGGGTATAACACACACTGTTCCCAAAAAGCTCTATTACCGGTTTAATCCTCGTAATTTTAATTGTTTTTTTTTTCAAAATATAGATGTTATGGGTTAGCATATTTAAAAATAAGTTTTATAACAAAAAAAATGAAGAAAAATGGGAATAGTTCAACAAGCACACTTTTAGTGATGAAATATTATTAATGTTCTTTTATTAATGATCTCGTTAAAATTAAAATACTATGATAAATCAGGTAGTTATTAAACGATCTGGTATCTGAAAACTGTTATTTAGAAATAATGACGCAACAGTTGTTACAAGGCGAACAACAGTTGTTGCCCCTGAAAAATAACAGATGAAAATAACCATGTGTCGATATGGCGGGCCGTAGAGAGTTTGTTATTTAACGATTTGCAACAGTTGTTACTATTAAAAAAATAATAGTAAGTAAGTAAGTACTAAATAAGTAAATAACAGTGCGCTGAAAGCGACGGCCCGAGATATAAGGTCGAGATTGCCGCACGACGATGTGTAGAAGGCTGACAATAACAGTTGTGTCCTCCAAAAAATAAGAGTTGAAAATAACACTGTGCCGATACCGATGGCTGTAGACAGTTTGTAATTTAAACAATTGTTGCATCCAAAAAATAACGCATGAAAATAACAGTGTACCAGTATTCATGGCTCTAGGCAGGTTGTTTATTTAAAGTTTTGATATTTCGCAATTTAATTCGCAACATTTGTTACTATCAAAAAATAACAAGTATGCAAATGACAGTATGCTGACTGAGATATAAGGTCGGAACTGCTCTACCACGACGTATACCAGGCTCACCACAGTTGTTACCCTAAAAAAATATCAGATTAAAAAATCTGTAGGCCGATATAGATGCCTGTAGACAGTTTGTTATCATTGAACGGTTATTTAGAAATATCAGTTCGCAACAGTTGTTACTACCAGAAAAAAACCAGATATGTAAATAACAGGACTCCAAAAAATAACACATAAAAATAACACTGCGCTGATATAGATGGTTGTAGACAGGTCTTTATTAAAAAAATTGTTATTTTTGAAATATGATTTGTAACAGTTGGTACTACCAAAAAATAACAGATACGTAAATAACAGTGCGCTAACATCGACTGCTCGAGATACAAGGTCAGGATTGCCGTATTAACGATGTACAGGGTGGGTCAAATTCGACGCTTTTAAATGGAAACACCCTTTTCTATAGGAGATAGAGAAAAACTAATATCGGTGTTTGGAGCTCAATTTTCATCAAAAAGATGATGGTGAAAACTGCATATCAATATCTGTTACCGTTTCGGAGTTACGGGGTGTTTTTCAAAAATTTGCATTTTTAACAAATCGCTGTAACTTTTTTACTATGGAAAATTTTGTATTTCTATGAAAACATTTCCAAAGCACCTTTTTACGTAGAATTTAATGGTTTAAGTATATTTTTTTTAAAATTAATAATTTAAGAGTTATCAACAGAAAAATAGTTTTTATATTTGGGACACCCTTTATATTTTTAATTAACTAAAAAGAATTTAAAATTACCTATCCAAAAATATAGCACACTTGATATTTTGTTATAATCCCCTTAGAAATACAGAAATTTTAAAAGTTCGCCACTTTTAACTAGTAGGCTTTGGACCACTTATTGATGATATGCCCTTAATGGAACTCGAAAACATATTTTTCCAGCAAGACGACGTACCGCCCCTGAACGCTAAAGTTATCAGCAAATTTTTGCAGCCAGTTTCAAGAATAATTGAATAGCTAACCAAGATCCCAGCCGTTGGCCGTCGAGGCCGCCTGACTTAGTGCCCATGGATCTAATCCTATTGATATATTTGAGGAAGAATAAGAAATACTTAGCAGTTATGAGAGGGTATCTTTCACCCCTACTGAGTTAATGAATTCCGCGAGAAACTGCCCCGTCTGTCCATAACAGAAGACGGTCGATATGTCGAACACCTGTAGCAAAATCTCCTGTCTTGGTTTGCTATTTATTTTTATAGTTATTAGATATAGTTTAAATGTGTTGATGTTGGTTAAATATATTTTAAATTGTTATAAAATTTTGCATCTCTCATAGCAAATATTATTTTCGTTTTAACTGATGCTCACATCTAGAATTTTTTTGCATTACAGCCGGTCCCGTTCAAAGCCTACTTAATTAAAGCGGGCGAATTTTTATATACTCGATATCTCGAAGGGGAACCGAGCAAAATATCAATTGTGTTATATTTTTGGAAAGGTAATTTAAAATTCTTTTCAATAAATTAAAAATATACAGGGTGTCCCATATAAAAAATAAAATTTTCTGTTAATAATTCTTAAATTATTAATTTTTAAAAAATTATACTTAAACCATTAAATTCTACCTAAAAAGGTGCTTTGGAAATGTTTTCGTAAAAATACAATATTTTCCATAGCAAAAAAGTTACAGCGATTCGTTAAAAATGCATATTTTTGAAAAACACCCCGTAACTCCGAGACGGTAACAGATATCGATATGCGGTTTTCACCATCACATTTTTAACAAAAATTGAGCTCCAGACACCGATATTAGTTTTTGTCTATCTCCTATAGAAAAGGGTGTTTCCATTTAAAAGCGTCGAATTTGACCCACCCTGTACACCAGGCTCACAACAGTTGTTGTATTGAAAAAGTAACACATGAAAATAACGATGCTCTGATATCGATGGCTGTAGACAGGTTGTTATTTAAAGAATTGTTATTTTTGAAGTGTTATTTGGAAATATCAGTTCACAAGAGGTGTTACTACCAAATGGTTTACTCCATTATTTAAAGGCATAACAACTGTTATTTACTTGATAATGTAAATAGCAAATATAAAAACAATAAATATAACGTAAATAATGTTATGTGAAGTCGGGAAACTATTATTTTAGGCTGCTATATTTAAAAAGTAGTAACAATTCCTACTATATTATAGTTTAGAAACAACAGTTTTCATAACCTCTGATAGCCTGAAACTGAAACAGGTTAAAATCTCAAACAGAAGAACTAATAAGAAGCAATTTCGGAACAGGTGTTCACGCTGTATATCTACCTAATATTTATTTACAAGAATCGTTAAATCGCAGTCTTTTTCCCTTGCATTATAACACTGAAGTTTCTGTAGGTCGGGTAGCCGTATTGTTGTTATTGTTTGCGCTAGTAATTTCCCCGGCGTGGCTGGAACAATAGAACTTTTTATGGGCTATAAAGGTGGATAGGTAGTTGAAATAAATGTCGCAGGATTTGCAATAGTTGGGACCAGTTTTGGCGGCCTCTTGCATGATCTCCTCGTCGGACGTTTTGGACTTGGGTGTCGAGGATAGTTCGGGCTCTTCTTTGATTGTAGCGCCCTCGATTGGGGCTATAATCACCTCAGGTTCTATAGCTTCCTTTTTAACTGCAATCAAAATACGAAAAAATATATAGTAGGTATATCGTATATATCGTAAGTAATAGAAGAGAGAATAGACTTTCGGTACAAGATATTCAAAAATTGACAGAAAAGAGGGCTTGTTTTTGAATTTAAATAACATAGTGTCACTAAGAGCTCTTTCACACGAAGTTACTTTCACAGCTACTTTTCTGCCACATATTAAAACACCAAATTAAGAAAGAAAATCGCGTAGATATAGTTTAAAGTTAAATGGGAAGTATTATTACTGACGGTATTGATAATAATTCAATGGCGACGAAGAAGGAGACTAAAGAGAAAAATATAGAAACACCCATTATCAAGAAGGTCTATTTTAGATTTTTGTTGCCATAAACATCTAATTCACTATGCCAAATAATTGGTCCTCCTTCAATGGTAGTTATAAAGTCATCAATATTACAATCAAGACTTTTTTGCATAATTGATATTTAAATAACAAACTAACTTTCCATGCAAATAAATTGATTCCGAATTTAAACAACGCTTTGTTAAATCTTAACACCGGTGGTGGACACCGGTGTCGGACAAGTGGCTTTGTATGAAAGAGCTCATTGATTGACGTATTTAATTGTCTTTGGTCACTTCCTGTTTCACCGGAAATGACTACAACTTTTGATTATTAAATGACACCCTCTCAGAACATGACACTCTGAATAGAATGACATATCATATGTCAAATTTTGACATTTTCGCATATGGTTTATTTGAAATTGTAACATGCGGTTCATAACGACAATGTGACTCGAAATACCAAGTGTGTGGTACCAAAAATTATTCGTAAAAAAATGCTTTTTTCAAATATGGTAATGAGCCACCCTTGTTCCAATTGCAAAAATTGAGATATGATTAAAAATATGATTTGGACATCTTTTAACCGGCCAGGACAAGACACGAAAAACATTAGGCGATCAAATCTATTTTTCCAAGGCTCCTTGATTAATCTACCTAATGTTTAAATTAGTGTTTTTAACACAGGCACTCTCCATGGCACTCTAGATTGAAATTTGAAATCCGATTTTTTTAAGTGAAAATGTCAAATGTTGACATATGATATGTCATTCTGTTCGGAGTGTCATCATTTTTTATCGAATAAAGTAAAAATATACCGAGGGTGCCAGTTAAAAATCGTAATCTTTGAAAAGTTGTAATCATTTTTGGTAAAACAGGAAGTGACCAAAAACAAATAAATACCAGCAATCAATCCTAATTTATGTCATATACTACCATACCAAATCTCGTTTTTTTATCTGAAAAAATAAAAAGTTATAGGGGTGAGCCACTTTTGAGACGCACCCGGTATATTCTTAGTGAACATATTCTACAGGGTGTCTCAGTATTGCGATATTTCAATTTAGAGTAATAGATATATAGAGGCCGCAAAAAGTTTATTGCGTGTCTATGTTTAGAAAAAATTATAGAGTGAAAAACAGAAACGTGTTTTCATGTAAATGATTTCAGCTATTCTAAAATGGAAAAATTGAAAATTATGCTTTTCCGCAGAAAACATCTTCATGACTTTCTATTCAAAAAGACTTAATAGAGTACCTACTAAATAAACAAATATTTCATACATAACTGATTTCAGTTAAACTAAAGTAGCCCTGATTTCAGCAATTATTCTAAAGTTGAAAAATTGAAAATGATGCATTTTTGCAGAACTTTTTTGTGACATGCTATTCGAAAATGCTTCCAAATATTAAATAAACAAATATTTCTTATATAACTGATTTCAGCTAAATAAATGTTCAGCCGAAAAACACATAAAATTAAAAATGTGTTCAAGTAAAATGAATTAATGTTTCTTGAAGTAAATTCTTACCAATTATTTCTTCTTCCTCTTCTAGTTGTGGTATGTTTTTTGTCGCACCTTTTTCATCTCCGTTACTTAAATGCTCTTCAATGTTGTTAACGTCGTGCACCAGTTTTATGTGCCTGACCACGTTAGCTTTGTAAGGAGAGCTGTAAGGGCATTGCGGGCAAGAATGCTGTGGCTCAGGTCGATTTTCTGAGCTTGGCGAAGTACGATCATCTGTAGGGAGGTGAGGAGCTATCGCAACCTCACTTATACCAGGCCCCAGAGTTTCATCTTCCAAAATGTAGGTAATATACTTTTCCTCCTTCAAAAAAGAAATAGAATAAGATTATAATAGATAGAATTTACTTTCTTCTAATATGTATGGGGTTTCCATGCACATTTTTGGAAATTTTGGAAGTTTTACTTTAACGGGGAAATTTAAGACATTTGAACAAATGTTAAGTATACTCTTTTGCCTTGGTAAGCAGTACTAATATATGTACTGCATTACGTTACACATGACATCAGGATTCGATTAATCCTTTTTTAACAGAAGAAAAAACTTTTTATTAGATTCTACACACTTTCGTTTTGACATTTTTAATGCTTAATTTTATTGTTAAAATTAAATATTGCACATTATATACCAATACATACAAACCAATTTGGAGATACACAAATTAGACATGGACGAGAGACAAAGACGCACAATTAGGGATAGTTAACGGGAGATATGGGTTAAAATTAAATTAAAGAAAAACAAAATTAATGATTATCGATCGAAAACCCACGAATCTAACAGAAATAGCAGGTTTCGAAGTTGTAGATCAATACATATATCTCGGCTCTTTCATATCAAGCAAAGGAGGATGTGATGCAGAAATTAAGAGTAGACTGAGTATGCAATTCCATAACCAAACTCAATAAAATATTGAAAGATTCAACCATTACAATTAGTAACAAACTACTATAAGAGCCCTAATTTTCCCCATTGCCAATTATGCCTCAGAGACCTGGACATTGAAGTTGGCAATGCGACGTAAAATCGATGTTTTTGAAATGTGGTGTTATACACGGATGCTGCGAATACCGTACAAACATTTCAATTCTCGAACAACCGAATATCGAATCTATACTGTCAACATCAACATCAATAAATCAATCATATTTAAGATAATTTGACCACATATTCCAGGAACACCAAAGGTCTAGAAAAACTAATTGTGGAGGGAAAAGTGAACGGGAAACGTCCTAGAGGGAGACCTCTAAACCGTTGGTTGGGTGGACCGACGTTGAAGACGATAATAGGTCATAGTCTGCACGAGGCCAGTACTTTCTGCGCAAGACAGAACAACATGGAGAGACACAATAAATGCGATATCATAATGTCACAGTATAGGAGTAATATACAGTAATAGGAAGGAGGAGGAGGGGGAAGTCTGCCCAAAAAGTCGGGGAAGATTTCGACGGATGGCATTCAAAAAATGACAAAAAATACAATTTACTTGTGAATCGAAATGACAGGCACAATTGTCACTGTAGTGGATCGTTGCAGATTTATATTCATAAAGTGTACGTTATCATAATAAAAGAATTCACAATAATTCACAATATCCACGAATGCACCGAAAATGAAAAAATTGACCAGACAGATATAGGCATTTCAGTTGATTTCAACAAATTCTGACCGCATCGCTTCAACGGCAGAAATCAGGAATTATCAGTATGTATTTCACGCCGCCGCGCCGCCATATTGATCGCATTAAAATAATATTGAAATCGTAGTTTTGTCATAATATTTAAGTATTTTAGTTTTTTGCAAGTGCAGTTGAGACTATAAAACACTCAGGTACGAGGTTTGTATGATGTAACGCTGTTTCTGGTAGTAAAAAATAAGTGAAAAAGAATTCGAACTAGGCTTCGTGTTGTGTTGTGATAATTTCAAATGTTAATAAAATTGCCGAAACCATGTTAACGCGTAAAGGAGAGCGTAATTGAGGCATGGTTGGGGGCAATAACATTTCAATAACTCAACTTTCCCGGATATTCAACTCTCCCGAAACAACATTTTATAGCTTCATAGTTTCTTACACCGATATGATCAAAAGCAAAAACGGATTCAAGCAGTTCGACGAAACAAGTGAGTAAATAAAGTGCTCTTTACATAATCAAAAAATTAAGTAGGCATAGTTACTATGAGAGGATAAAATATAATTTGCAATATTAATGGTACCTATACTTTTTTTAATCAACTAGTGATTAAATGTTTTATGAACATCTAAAATTATAATTATGTACCTTTAAAAAATTTCGTGCGGGAATAGCCCCAATTATGCCCCACTAGCAAAACCGGCGATTAAAACTATGCTCGCTACGGTAGTTGAACTCATCTGAAAAGTTTTTTAACTGGAATAATAAATTATAATACGAGTTAGACCTTCTGATGAAGATATCAAAATATTTACTTTTTTATTTCTATTTTTAGAATTTTCACAAATTATACTTCCTAACACTTTTAGAATAATTAAATAATAAATTTTTCGTATACTCGCTATTTAAATTCGTGTATTTGTATAGACTAGTTGTTTACAATATTCTCCGATGGTGGCAGCACAGGCGGAGAATGCACCAAGCCTATAGGTACTTTCGAACAATGTGTGTTTCGTAGATATGTGAGATCATAACGATTAAAATATTCAACAAAGTAGTTTATACGCTTAGCTTTCCCGGGAGTTTTTTTAAATTCTAGCCGGACCACCGCGGACACTTTAAAAACTCGAACATGTCCAGGTAAATCCGGACGTATGGAAACCCTCTTTTTATATAAGTAATGAATCGCATGTTACCGGAAATAAAACAATAAAAGTATATTACCTGTAGATCAGGAGACCTCTTATCAAAATGTACCCTAATATGTGTTTTCATCCCTCTCAGAGTGTTTCCTTTGTATTTACAAATTGTGCATCGATATGCTTTAACGCCTGTGTGAGTTTCCATATGTCTTTGTGCTGCACTGCCTGTAGGACTAATGACGTCGCAGCATGGGCATTTCCAACCTGCTAGGGCTGTATGGGAGACACACTGCAAACCAAAACAATTAGTTATATATTTTAAAACGCTTCTTTAAATTGTTTATATTTTACCTGATGTCCAGGCTCTACAACTGCTCGACATTTTAGACACTTCTTAGGCTCCAAATCACTTCTTTTCAGACAGTAATACTGCTGATGGGCATTCAGATTATCTGGTGAAGTAAATTTGATACCGCATGCTAAACAGATTAACTGTTGATATTGAGCTGCTGGACTAGTTGTTCCACCACTCCTGAAAAAAAAAATATTGTTTGACCATTACTTCTATCCTCTTCTATATGTATAGTCCTCAATATATTATTTTTAAATTCCATTTTTTATCGAATTTTAATTTAATTTAAAATTTAAATTTTTTCATATGCCCCTTCCGTAATGTTTTTATTCAAAGATTTTGAAAATCCTACTTTTTTTAATAGGCATGCACTTGATTATTTTCACACTTAGTAATTATTACCTGGGACTAACTGGTGGACTTCCGCTTGTCTTTGAACTGTCATCTTCTAAAGTACGAGCCGAACAGTAATGTTTCTTATGTACGACGTAATTCTCGAGCTTACAGAATACAATGTTACACTCCTTGCACTTAGAAACACCCTGCTTGACGATAACTTGTGGCATGACAGGTGGTAAAGGTGGTAAGTCTGATAAGCGCCTCTGTAACTAAATGAAACAAATAAATTAATAAATTTAATCAAGGTAATCATAATGTCGTTACCTCTGGTGTAAATAAGGGCAGAGTTCCTGCTCTCATCAATAGTGGATGAAGTGCTGATGGAATGTCAAATTGTTGACCAATTGGTAATCCTGCTTCGGGACTGACCGAGTTCAAATCGTTGCTGAGTTTTGGAGTTTTTGAGGATCTAAAATAACCAATTGAATAGATAACTTAATAGTATATGACTAAACGATCCAAGGATAGGTATTAAATACAGCAGTGGCGGAACATAGTTTAATAATTTGGGGGCGCACAACCATGGAGAAACAAATGGTAGACCACCTTCAAAAATTACTCTTTCCGCGCTATTAAATCGTTAATTTATGTTTCGAATTAAAAGATCTTATTTAATTAATACGTTGACAGCCACGGCATTTGTAGAGTAACCCTTCCTAGACGCCAAGGTGTGAAAATCACAATAATGAGTCAAAATAAATTAAAATTAATGAAAAAGCATCATTTTTAGTATTCCATATTACATGTATTCTTTCGTCAAAAAACACTACATATGTATTTTCCTACTCTATTGCAGACGCCCAGCATTACAAATTTTAACGCAAAAAATTTCTCAAGAAGGAGCATTAAATTTGAGGGTTCACGTGTACATGTGCTTTATTGAGGACCTCTGACTGATTAAATGCGAGGATGAAGTTGGTGACACAAGCGTTAGCGAGAATTTTTTTAAGTTACAGACTATGTTTTTTTCTATTACTTAAACAGGGTCCAGGCAAATTATACAAGAAGTCGTTAAATATTTTGTTTGAGAGTTTTTTTATTCAATGATGTATAAGATAACCTATAGTTCCAAGCGTAGATAGTTAATTAATAAATAAGCCACAAAAAATATTACCTTGGACTGTTGCTTCGAGATAAGTCATCCAGTTTCCTTTTAGGGCTGATGCTTAGACCCGGAGAACTTTTATCAGCGAGTATTCCTGGAGTCGAACAAGGCGACCCGTGAATCAGCGGTTCACATTCGATCTTCTCCGGAGTAAACGATCGCTGTTTCATGTTCTCCTTCTCGTGATCAGCATCTATATCCATAGACTCCGGAGTACCGTTTCTATTTCTCTCTTTAAGCTCCGTCGATTTTCGCACTGTAAGATCCAACGGTGTCGAAGAATTTTCTTTTGCAGGACTGGAAACTTTATTTCCCTTATTTGCTGTCTTCAGGACTTGTTCTGCACCCGCTTGTGCCGGTTGTGGCATTTGCGGAAGGCTTCCTATATTTATTCCGGATAAAGCACTTGTCATGGGCTGCAAAGTTCCGTTTGGGAGAAGGAAACATGGAGTGTCCGGACTTGGTATGCCGGTTGCAGTTGATAAGGATGGCAGAACGCTAGCAGATCGGAATAAAGAATAGGGAACTATGATGATTGGGTTTGTGGGAAGTGCTAGGAATGGTTGTTGGGGCTGTAAGGATGGTGTTGGAGATGGGGGAGTTCGGCAGGTAGCTGGATCGGATGGACTTGTGGGGGACGATCCTGATGTACAACTGGAAGCAGGCGCTGTTTGTTTTACCACATGTCTGGAAGAAAAAGTATTGCTTTTAAGATGTTCAAGTTAGTCATTAGTAAGTATAAGTAATCTCAGTATTTTTATGGCTAAATCATTTACACAAGATATACAGAGTTTAAACAAATAGTGTACCAAATTTTAGTGGGTGATACAACAGATAACAATAAAACAAAAAGTTCCAATGAACATATGCTCTAAGAGGTTTTCTAATGAAGTTACATCCCTTGAAAGGGTAAATAAAAATAATATATTTTGTTTACTTTTAAGAACACTGGCAAACCATTTTCCTTGAAATATGGTATTTTTAAACACATTTTAATGCCAAAGTGAATGGTGATAAAAAGTGTAAAAATTCGAAACAATTCTTAAAGGGCACTTTCCATTAGTGTAGAGGTTGTTCTGTGTGAGTTTCTCGAAATAGGAGACTGTGTGCAGATATAGAAATATAGAAGAAGGAACAACACAATAGGAGTATTGAGGAAATCATACATAATATACCTACTTACCGTGAGTTACAGTAATGCATCTTATGAGCTCGGTAAGTCTTCTGCGAACTAAAGCGAATGTCACACTCGGCACAGTACCGGTCTTGAGCCTCACTTCCGCTCGCTTCTCCGTTGGAAACACCAGACGAAGTACTCGCAGATGGTACTGCGCTATTAACCGGACCCGGAGAGGACGTATGCATGCGCATATGTCGGTTCAGGCTCACTTTCTTGTCTGCGCTGTAGGAGCAATGCGGACAGGTGTACTGCTTTGTCGTTCTCAAGTTTTTGTTAACGGAATCGCCGTCAGCGTCGGACTGACTGCTGGGATCGGAGTTGGAGCCTGGTGCTTTGGGATCGTCATCGGATGGCTTGTTTGGCCTATAAGCGTTAGAATAAAAGTATATAATATTTGTTTAAGTTGCAAATGAAAATATCTACAGTATGTCACCGGATTGTCAAAAAAAAATCTTTATATGTTTTCAAATTCAATAGAATTGGAGTGACTGCCGTTTTAAAGAAAAATCTCTTATCTGATGTGTTGAAAAAGTTAAGGTCTTGTACGTTAATATTGTTAAATATGACACATATATAATATTTCATTATAATTTCGAACATAAAGCAAGAAAGGTGTTTTTGCTTCTCATTTAAGGTTGATTCTCATTATACCTAACCATATCAGCTCTCTTCCGTTTCCCTTCCGTTTACATAAAATATTATATCATGTAAATGAGTAGGGCAATGCACACCATCCGTTCCGTTTCCCTTCCGTTCCATATCCTTTCCTTCCATGCATTTTTTTGACGGACGGACTGAAGCGTATCGGAAACAGCGTTGTCAAGTTTTAACATTTGTACCAGCTGTGTTAACATTTTCCTGATATTTATTTATTTTTTCATCTCTTAATTAAATCTATTACCTTTTTCAAAAGATACAAATTTTTGCAATAAAACGTTCGTAATGATATAAATTGTACAATAAAAAATATGGAACTGATACGTAACGGAAGCTTACGTATAGCGTCAATACAATAAAAAATACGGAACGGATATGGAATGGATATGAGAATCAACCTTTACTTGGTAAAAAAACCTCTTTCTCTTCGATGACAGACTTATATTTTAATTTTAAGGCGTTTTTCCTTAATACGACAGTACCTATAGCTGTATCCATAAAAGTGTATAATCTTAGAGGTATATCTCTTTTTCATACCTATGTGAACAGTAATAAGTCTGATGCGCTTCCAATGTACTTAACGAAGAAAACCGTATCCCACAAGGAGCACACTGATAAACAGGAACAGATGGTCTACTCGTCTCTGATGCAGTGGCAGCTTCAGCGACTCTATGATAATATTAAGTCATGAAAAGATTTGGTCATTTGCCGAAATTAAGACTACTTACCTCACTGTTTCACTTGTCGCGACTCTTTGTGCAGCTGCAACTGCAGCTACAGCTTCGTTTAGATTTAGGCTGGTTGGAAATAGTAATGCTCTGCTGGCTAGAGCTGACTGAATGGCTGGTGCGAGAGACGAAAGGTATTCTGGGGTTGGAGTTGGTGGCTCAATCTAAGAAAAATTGTTATAATGAATACTAAACTTTATTCTTATTTTTCTAGATTACGTTGCAATTAGCGGTGGGCACAAAAGGTTGAACGAGTCTTTCAATTGAACGAGTACGCTCAACTGAATCGTTGCCAGCACGGATCCATAAACGAATCCATATGAACGAACGAGTCGTAAAAATTGTGTCGGATCGACTCTTTTACCTCTACAGTTGGTTCGTTCAAAGTTCGTCATTAACTACAATACTCTCCGTTTAAAAAATGAATAATAGAATAATATACTATGAGCTTGGATCCCCAAACGTTTGTAATATAGGTAATAGCAATGATATAAATATAGATCAGTAATCATTAATTTAGGAATAAAATTTTATGTTCTATTATACCAGTTTTATATACAGGGTGGTCTGAACTGTATTCCGGAAACTTCGGCAGCATATTTTGCAGATAAAAATAAGAAAAAAGTTCGTATAAATGTATGCCCTAAAATGCTAAGTTTCGGAGATACAGGGCTTCGAAGTTTCATTTTTATTTCGATTTTTTCGAGATAATTTCTGAAATGTCAATATTTGGATGAAAATTGGCGTATGGAAGTTTTTTGACATGAGAAATTTGATTTTGATGTCTATATGACTCCTACTTGTAGAGGGCCTATATATTTTTTAACTGGTTTGAAGAGTAATAACTTTTCGTCCGTACCTGTATAAAACTACTGAGTAACAAAATATACATTTACGACATTTTCTACGTAAAAAAGATCCCTTGGAAAAAATCGCTACGAGTAATGGTTCTCGAGATATTTGTAATCGAAATTATCTATACCTGTTGACATAAATTAAGCATGTTGACTAAATAGTTATTAGACTGAAATCATAAATTTGAAATGTTTTTGTGCCAAAAGTTCAACAGGAACTGTTTTTATCATCATTTTTTAGAAGAAAAATTTATGATAAACAAATTTATCATTTCAGTCAAATAACTATATATCTACTCAACCTGTTCATTTTTTGTCAATAAAGACATGTATTGACTATTTTCATTCTAAATATCGTGAGAACGGTTGTTCGTAGCGATTTTTATCAAGAGACATTTTTTACGTAAAAAATCACGAAAATGTGTATTTTTTTAATCAGTAGTTTTATACAAGTATGGACAAAAAGTTATTACTTTTGAAAAAGCCCATGTAGGTGGCGCCCCCTACAAACAGGAGTCATATTGACATAAAAATCCAATTTATCATGTCAAAAAACTCTCAAACACCTATTTTCATCCAAATATTGACGTTACTTCAGAAATTATTTGGAAAAATTCGAAATAAATATGAAACTTCTACATCCTGTATCTCCGAAACTAAGCATTTTAGGACATATATTTATACAAAATTGTTTACTTATTTATATCTGCAGAATATGCTGCCGAAATTTCCGGAATACAATTCGAACCACCCTGTATTAGTAAGAAATTCAACTATAATTTAACGCCGCGTGGTCTTCATACTTATGGGGAATGAATATTTATGTATTAGGTTAATACAATAGACTCGAACAAAATCCCCAAACAGACTTAATGGATATAAACCCTGTGATAAGTAAAATGTGTTTTTTGTTCGTAAGAGTCCGTTTGAATCGTAAGAGTCGATTCATTATGAGAAATTGAATCGTGTGATTCGATTCACTAAAAAGAATCGTAATGCCCACCACTAGTTGCAGTAGATCTTAATAAAACTCTTAACTCACCTCGTTTTTAATGGTACCCAGCATAGTAAGCGCCGGATCGGTAGCCAGCCCTGCCTTCAACCGGATCCGCGGCTGTTTCTCTTCCGATTCCACTTTGGTGGGACTTTTTCTGTCATCATCAGAATTGGGTCGGTCGGGACTCTCGCTCTTTTTGGGTGGCGCTTCCAGTACTGTCACCATGTTGCGACCGTTTCCGCTAGATGGGGCGGTCTCCAATGGTGAGCTTTCGACGGGTCGTTCCGTCCAGTCTTTTGCCTCGCCTGTAATAGAACAAGGACGTTAATCTCTAAGTCTACTGGATGTCCTAGAAACGATAATATTTTCATCGGTCGTTTGTTAAAGGATAATTAAAATATACTGTTAATTGATTTACAAATCAGAGTTCGAGTTCTCACTACTATCAAAATATTTAGAAAAACAGTTTCACACTATCAGTAATTTTAGTATTTAATATGCAACAAAAGAAACAGTTAAGAGTGTATTATACTGTACTGTCCGGGTCTTTATTTTCGAGAAAATTTAGTCCAAACATAAAGAATATTTAAAATAAAATAAAGAAGTTGTCTAAAGATGTACTACAATACGGAAATAGTATAATCCTTTATTTCTAATTTCCTTCCTCATTTGTGTAAAAATACCTAGCCAGTTTAACATTACAAGACGTTAAATGCAGAACGCTTATTTTGCTACATTTTCGAACTCTTAACGCTGTAAGTTCTAGAGGAGATTGGAATTATTGTCCTTCTAGGGTCCAACTGTTTTTATACAGCAAACATACTTGAAATTTTTCACTCTATGCGATATACTGCCGTGATTATACAGGGTGAGTCTTAAATAAGTGCAAATATTTTCAGGACTGGTAGATCTCGATAAAAGAAACGTATTTTCTCTTTACCGTTTTTCAAATAAATCCAAAATAACCGATTTATTTTACTTTGAAATTTTAGAAAACCGCTGGATCTTTTCTGGATTTTCTTTCTCTTAAATTTAATCTACTGCCTATGTTGCCATATTATGAAGATATTACGTTTTTAACTAAAAATTAAAAAAAAAAAATCAAAAATAGTTTTTCGCGAAAAAATCGTTATAGTCGTGTTTCTACACTGTAAAAAGTGCATGTAAAAACGCAATAAAAATACAGTAATTTTAATGTAAAGTTGCCTATTGTTTACTGCAGCAGTTTGGTAAAATTCCAAAATCTTATTATTGGTACTTTTCCTATAATATGTACAATTTCTATTCGTAAGTGAAGTTACAATAATATGACAAACGTGAAAAGTAAATTTACGTATAGCTTACAATTATATTACTTCTGATTTACTACGTTGTTGTAAATTTGTTGGAAAATCGCATCAATTTAGTAACTTTCCTATTTAAATTGCCGCGAAACACCATCATCTTCATTAAGCCGGAGTCTCATGCATCCGAAATCCGATGACACGACGATCCGACGGTGCTCCTATTGGTCGAAATATTTTGACAACAATTTTTATCCGATAATTTTAACTAATCATCCGACGTCGTATAAAGTTAAATTTTGTTCAACTTTTGTACGATATCGTGTGTTTTTTAATCTCACTTTTTTTGAAAACATTTGTTTTTAAAAACAAGTTTAGTGGGAAGTGGGCAATTTCGGGATATTTGGCGAGGAAGTTATTTTTATAAGTGTTTCTCCAATAAAACATGACATGAATCTCTATTCAGCGCAGCAGAAAAATGTTAAAACTGTCAAATTTCGGAACGAACTTTCGGATGTATGTGACAGGCTTTTTTTATTTCACACGATAACTTCAAATTTCGGATGTCGTACCATCGGATTTCGGATGCATGAGATTCCGGCTTTAGTCATTACGCCGGCCATGATCGTGATGCCTACTGGCAACTGTCGACCCTTGTAGTCTGATCTACGTACTCTGGTCTGATCGTGTGCCTTTTATAATAATTTTTAGTGCGTTTCGGTGCTTGATCAAACGTAAAGTGGTAGTAAACTACCGGGTTTAGTCGTTTGTTTTTGTTTACTGTTCATATTGGGAGAGTAAAGGTAAGTTTACTTCAAAAATAGAAATGTTTAAGTGTGCTTTTTCTACGGATTTCAGGTTCGGATAGGTTATGTTGTTGTATCGAAGCACTTAAAAACGGAGAGGTCATACCTCCAGAAGAACGGTTTGAAGCCGAGGAAATCCGTCCGTGCATGGAAACGTGCATGTATATTTAAATTAAAGAAATTGTAAATATTCGCCCTTTCCAGGAGCTTTGCCCTCCTGGAAGATGTGCCCCATTGGAGGATGGTTGTGAGTCCTAGAGACCTGATACCAAGACAAAACGAACTACCCAGTTTTTAATATAATAAAAAAAATGTAAAAAATTAAAAGTGTTTTATTTATAATCAACATTTACCAATCTTTAAAAAAAGTAATGTAATATTACAATTAAATAAAGTAAAAAGTAATGTACCTATTCTCTGATAAAAAGTTTTACTACCATTATCGTAGTTAACTTCAAGTAAAATTATAATAAAACATTTTTAAAATTACCTTTAATTTACAGTCCATTGCTGTAAAGTGTTAGTAATAGTGTGGTAATTTCACTGGAATTTTCTATAAATTTACATTTTTTTTTGAATTTCATTGAAAATTACATGTTTATTGTAATAGTTGTACATACGATTTACAATTAAAGAATGTAATTTGAGTCAAATAATTAAGTAATATTACATTAATTTTCACTGTAAAATTACTGACACGATTACTTTTAACTTACAATGATTATGTAACATTACTAAAAAAAGTAAACATACTATCAATATCGCAGGCATTAAATGACCTCCGATATTGGTACTAAAATTACTTAATTTATTTTTACAGTGTAGGGTCGAAATATACTGCTCTAAAAATATTTGAACTTATTTAAGACTTATCCCTTATCCTGTATATCCAAAAAAAGATACATAATATCAAAGCATTGCATCTTCTTGGATACAGATCTAGATTAGATTCCTCGAGGTGGCTATCAGCCTGATCAACTGCGACCTTCTCATATCTATTGTGTGAATACAGGGAATAAATATATTTTATATTGTAAATTTATAGAATTCCTGCAATTCTTGTTTCATATGCGAACAAATGTTTCGTTATTTTGAATTTTGATATTTTGATAAGTTTTCTTAATTCTATAGTCTAAAATTAAGGTATATACTTGTTTTTTTACACGTCTCGGGTACTATTGGTACTTCTTGGTATTTTGCAATGGGTTTTTTAATTGTATTCCCCGTATAATCATTTCGAACAGGTCTCTTTCAATATTTATGTGACATTGTAGAAAGAAATAAGAAAATTTCTTAGGACTTACGACCGAGGAAAATCAAAGATTTTCTTTGATTTAAATAAGAACCATCTTCGGATTGTCACAGGATATTGTCTCCTCAATGAACACCTCAGTAGATTGAAGCTAAAAATAGCATGCGGATTCTGTGGGGAAAATGGGGAAACACCAAAACACCTCATCACAGAGCGCGTCGAGACGACAGCCATTCGTGCCATAAACCTTGGTACGACTAATATCGAAGATAGAGAAGTAACATGTGTAAAATCGTCTCAGATACTAGCTTTTGTCAAAGCCCTGAGACTGTAATGAACACCTCAGCAGACTAAAGCTAAGAAACAACGACGAATGCAGATTCTGTGGGGAAAATGGAGAAATACCAGAACACATCATCATTGAGTGAGCCGAGACGACTGCCATTCGTGCCATAAATTTTGGTGCAACTGATATCGGAGATGGAGCAGTAACATCTGTAAATCCGTCTCAGATACTGGCTTTTGTCGAAGCCCTGTGACTGTATGATAAGTTATAACTCAAGAGGGGGGACACAATAGATCTAGCGATAAGGCTGAGGTGATTAACTTCCCCCCTCCCATAAAATCAAGCACCACCTCCCAATCACAACCTATAAAGAAAAGTATTAAGGTGATTAGTAGATAGTAGCGGAGAATTGGTCAAATGTACGAGTGTAAATTCATCAATTGCCCTAACTCGCATTAACAAATGTAAACGGCTATTAATTCTAGCTAGTATCCAATAAGAGGTAACTGGTGAATTGGAAAATAGACACTAGGGCTGCTGCAGCGCGTGGGTTTGGCCGAACGATTGCTTCATTACGGCGAACATACTCGAACCGTGTTCCTGTCGCCCTTATCACCGACAACGCCATCTATACGCCGAATTGGAACGGCGCACTACATTCGACCACGACGACTGCGATCGAATCGCCCCCTCGTTCTTGGTAAAACGAGGCGATGTCCGCCGATGTCCCATCTAACTGCTTCGCGGAAAACTAGATGCGAAAGAGGGAAAAAATTATTTAGCAGCTTGATCAAAAAGAGAGTTTTCTTAAATTTTTTTAATAGCATTATTTCATTTCTGTTCAATCAATAGAATTATTGTTAATCAGTTCTGATCACGTCAAGATAATACGGAAAAAGAAGAGCAACTGAAGTTTCCAATACGAGGAACATTTTGGAGTTTTTGGGCAGCCAGGGACAGTTTTCGTCAACAACGGAAAGGCGGAAAGATCAAAAGGCTTCTGTGTTTGTCCGTATTTTTATAAACCGAGTTTGTTTGTTGGAAACTGCACTCAATTATCGAGTTTCTTTTCTGTGTTCCACGCATGTATCTAATCATTTGGAATAATTAACAGGTTTCCCACGTTCGTTACTGAACATTCTTATAAAATTATAAGGGCGATATTAGTTCTTTATTGATTTCTATGTTATTTTCATTCATATGGCGTTTTCCTTGAACTGGGCCGTAGTGACAAAAAGTAAATGTTAATTTTTAATAGTTCTTCTGCAGTCAAGACTTCTGTTATAACTGTTATGCAAAACGTAAGGTAAAACGTCATTTATTTTTTGAGTTAAAATGTTGAGTCAAAAAAGAAATTGTAGTGTTTTTCGTTAAGTTTTATGCTGTTGAGTCAAAAATTGTATAAACTGTCAAATGTCAAAATTATTGACATAACTTACTTTTTTTAAATGATACACCCTATATATTATTAAATATTTAAAAATACTTTTTTTCTGATTACGAAAATATGCCACACTTGCCCTTTCTTTTCATTAATTTAGCGCAAATTCGTATAAATATGATTAAAATTATAATTTTTCAACATCACGATACCCGCGTTTATTATTTTGTTTCCAAGAACTGTCATAGTTTTGCTCGAATTATTAAATATCATACGTGAATATTGTTCCCTGACAGT